TTCCAAGCTGTCATGGACAGTATTTTTAAGGATATTCCAAATGTTTGTGTGTACTTTGACAATGTGTACATAACTGGTAAGAATGACACTGAACATCTTAAAACACTTGATAAAGTATTGAAAATTGTTGGTGAAAAAGGTTTAAAGATAAACAAAGATAAATGTCAATTCATGTTGACAGAAATTAGTTTTCTTGGTTATATATTGAGCAAACAAGGCATCAGACCTCAACCTGAGAAAACAAAAGCCATTAAAGAAGCACCCAAACCTGAAAATACCCAACAACTAAGAGCTTTTTTGGGCTTGATAAATTACTATGCAAAGTTCATAGTGAATCTGTCTGGTAAACTATCACCACTGTACAAGCTGCTACAGAAAAATGCAACTTGGCACTGGGGTAAACAACAAGATACTGCTTTTAATACAGCAAAAGAGGCTTTGTCTTCTGACACCTTACTAACTCACTATGACCCAGGGAAAAGACTTATATTAACATGTGATGCTTCACCAGATGGTGTAGGAGCAGTCTTGTCCCACATGGATGAGAAGGGTGACAGACCCATTGCTTTTGCCAGTAGATCTTTGAACCAGGCTGAGAAAAATTATTCTCAGTTAGATAGGGAAGGCTTAGGCATCATTTTTGGTGTTAAGAAATTTCATAAGTTTCTGTTTGGTAGGAAGTTCACCATCTTTACAGATCATAAACCATTGCTAGGTTTATTTGGAGAAAACAAAACCCTACCTGAGCATGCCTCACCAAGAATTCAAAGATGGGCTATCACACTAACTGCATACAATTATGAATTGAGATACAAACCTGGATCTGAGAATAGTGCAGATAGTCTTAGTAGATTACCTTTAAAAAACCAAAGCCTTAGCTATATACCAGAAGATGTATTTGTTCTCTTCACTATCATGGATAACTCCAATATAAATGTGAATGATATTAAAAGAGAAACACAAAAAGATGAGTGCTTAATAAAAGTATATGAGTACTGTAAGAATGGTTGGCCTGAAGAGTCTGTGAATGATGACTTAAGGCCATATTAAATAAGAAATAAAAACCTTTGTGAAGATAATATAAAAGATGGAGAAGATGCAGTCCATTATCAGTCAGAGTTGCCTAAACAAAGTATTTGTAACTTAATAAATGATTATGGTGATATGGCAATTTCAAATGCTTTTAAAGAGAATACATTAGTAAGAAGGAATGTGATCATCAAACAACTTTGCTAACATCATTAGCACTTACAGAAACTAAAAGGGTAACATCAAAAGTAAATCATGACAAATCATCCATTGAAAGAGAATTTGGATATAATGAGAATGTGTATCTAAGGAATTATGGGAGAAAGGAAAAATGGATACCAGGTCAAATTGTTCAATGTACAGGACCTGTGTCTTACAAAGTAAAAACAAATGATGGACTTATTGTCCGTAGACATGCAGACCAGTTAAAAATAACTTGTGCAGATAATAAGTGTGAATCTGTCAATCCCACCAAATCTGAACAGTTCACACCAACTCAGTTTGTTCCACAACCAAGTTCTGTTGATATGAGTGAACCAAGTTGTCTGGAGTCAGAAAATGTAAATTCTGGAGTTAATGATTTAAATCCTAGACCTCCTGAGATAGAGAATCCAAATGGTCAGAATATTGAGTCACCAAATCAAAAGCCACTGAGAAGGTCAAACAGGACAATCAAAGTCCCAAATAAGTTAGACCTATGATTTTAAAGGTCAAAAGGACTTTGACATCATTGTTTGTATTTTAATTATGTTGTAACATATTGTGCATTGTTTGTAAGGATGTAATCTACCATAATGTTCATGTTACAATATATTTGGTGATTTTAGGATACTGTAAATTGTTCTATTGAGAGATGTGTTGTGTTTACTAAGGGTAAAGGGATGTAACATATTGGGATTTGTGAGGTCAGGGGAACTCACTCTTCTTGTATTGGTTATATTTATAATGTTGTTATTGAGTGATGTCCCTTGTATTTATCTATCATTGTTCCTCTTCCGGTTAACAAATAAAGATGGCTACATGCTGATGGCTTCTGTCTCCGTTGTGTATTCCTAATCTATTATAGGGGAGACACCAACGTCCATCGAAGTGGAATGGGGTTGAAACCACATATGAAATGTACAAATCTACATATCATTCGATCAAACACATTACCATACAGCAGCCTACGCGTGTGTACGTGTGTATGTGTACGTGTGTATGTGTACGTGTGTGTACGTGTGTGTACGTGTGTATATGTACGTGCGTGTGTACGTGTGTGTACGTGTGTATGTGTACGTGCGTGTGTACGTGAGTGTGTACGTGTGTATGTGTACGTGCGTGTGTACGTGTGTGTGTACGTGTGTGTGTACGCGAGTGTGTACGTGTGTGTGTGAGTGTGTGTGTAAGTGTTCGACACCAATAGAAAAAAAGCTACACATGTCTAAAATCTATGACTAAAAATCTATTTATAGCTTTTTCACCGATTTGTGTCGCTGTCATTAATATTTTTCAATATGTAATAAGTTAAATGAAAACATTTTATTTTTTAATTACTATTTAAAAGTGCGTGTTGCAAAAGAAAAACATACCGTTTGAAATGTATTAATCCATTATGAATGAATTAAGTTAAAACAACATATGAGATGAAAATGTATAAATCCATTATAAATAAACTGAGTAAAAAAAAAACTTTATTATAAGAGAAGTGAAAATGAATAATGGACACCAGCAAGCAACAGACGGATAGAACTGGTTGGCTTGCCACATTGACACATTCTGGCCAAACGTTTTGAAACAAATAATTCATGCAATAATTTAGTCAGTTTGATCTTTAAATTTTGTATATAATATACTATGGGTTTTGTTGAATTGTAACAGTTTGATTACAAATTTAATAAATCCATAAAAAGTAAAAAGCTTCTGATGGATTTAAACGTTGTAAAAAAGTATTTGTCGCTATGTTACTCATTTTCCTATACATTAAAATTTGAAGACGAAGATCAGTCAAAAGTGCGTTACTTTAAAAAAAAAACAACAACCGACAGTGATCTTAACTTTCTCGAATATTCTAATATGAAACAACAGGTGATGGCAACTCGGGATATAGACATGATTTTTAATCCATTTTAAATACTTAAACTTTTTAAAATAGAATAAAATCTCGTAGAAAAAAGAACTACACACCAAGTGAACGCCAAATAAAATGTGCATAATAGTGCGAAATATTAAAAGTACTTTATAAATTAACATGCGTTTTTTGAGAAATAGAAAAATAGCGAAAATTACTACATCCGGTCAACGGTTTTTACTCAAATGTTGATAGAAGGCAGAGAATTAAATATTTTACTTACATGTGACATTTTATTTATCTATCTGACATAGTACTCAAGTTTTAGGCTTTTGAAAAATTCAAAGTAGAATAAGTTTCATTTCCGGTTATCGGAAATCGCTCAAAAGTTAAAATCGATCTACAATTTTGATATAATATTTATATATGAAATTTCACCAACCTAGCTGTAACGGTACACAAGTTATCGTGTTTACACACACACACACAGCCACACAGACAAGATGGCAAAACTATGTTTTTCCGACTCAGCGAGCTGTTGAGATTTGCAAAAATCTTGATTTTTTTTTTTGCACGATTACAAGACTTTCTCCATACTTCGTATATACAAGTACGTAAAATTATTAAATACATCAAGGAAATAAGACTTTACACCAGCGTTTACACATATTTATAAAGATATTAGGCATGCTGCCCAGCTTCGCTTAGGCTTTCGAAAACATTGAGAATTTGAATGCTTAATTAATTCGCCCGAGGGTCGGTCTACGACCTCAGGAGTTATGAAGAGGTTCCTACGTGGAAATTTTTTTTTCGATTTATAGCTCATATAAGGCGCCGGTCAGTCGAGGTCAGTTTTGACCCCCTCATCGTAGACTTTTCGGCCAACCGGCCCCCGTGTTCTGTCACCCCAAGGCAAGATCCTGCCAAATTCGAAGCGCCTGCGGCGCCGGGAAGTGCCCTATCGGGCACCCGACAACTTTGCTTTATATATTATAGAGATTAGGAAATTGCATAGATAAACAAAGATTTTAATAAAGTAATTAAGGCGGAAATTCTTTAGAATAGAAATGTATTATTTGAATAGATTCTAGATCTAGGTAGGGTCTAAATCTGTGTAAGTCTAGTTTTTCCGTAGATCTAGATCATCGAGATCTAGATCTAGATGATCTAGAATATCTAGATGTAGATGATCTAGATCTAAATCTAGAATCCTAATAGAATTTGTTTTTAAGTTTAGCCCGAGCAAAATTGTATTGTATAAATTTTATAGCGTACGTAGCTCTAAATTATATTTGAATGAAATAGTTCATTTCTTTATTTTATTCTAAACACGGAAAATGACGTCATCAGTTTCGTGCTCTTTTTTTTTAGTGTAAACAATACGCTACGTCATTGTTAAATGCGTTCTTGTCCCCAAGTATATACATTTTTCCGGTTGCATAATTAAAATTGTTTTTCTACATTCGAATACGTCTTTATTTTTTATTTTTCTTCTTTAAATAAAATTGTGGTTATACATTTAAAACATCTTACATACTATTTTCAACAAAAGTCCGTATAAATTTCTTCATATATCGCTGCAGATTCTGATGTGACGTTCGGCGAAAATATTTTGCGGAAAGACAGAGAGTGAGAGAGAGAGAGAGAGAGAGATGTGCGCACAGGGGCTTTCATATATTAGGATTATATATATATATATATATATATATATATATATATATATATATATATATATATACATTTTCCTTTGGGGGGTGGGGGGATGACACCATTCGGTGCAGTACCGGTGACACCCGACCTTGCTACATCACTGGCCACATGGTTGATACACTAGTTGTAACTTACTTTGTCACACATTCTTTACACAACTTGTCACATATTTGTTACACTGCTTGTCACATAATTATTACTCGTTTCTTACTTTCACTTTCAAAGGTGCGACGTTTACATTGCAGCCTAGGTCGGCGTTGACGAATAAACCTCAGGGTCTCATCGTCCATCTTCATCTTGGCTCGCAGCTGGAGTAGCGTCCCCTGGTTAGATACAGTTTGACAGTCTATAAAGTCCAGAACAATTAAACACACTTTCTAACAATAAGACATTTTTCATTAAGTCCAGAACAATTAAACACACTTTCTAACAATAAGACATTTTTCATTAAGTCTAGAACAATTAAACACACTTTTTAACAATAAGACATTTTTCATAAAGTCCAGAACAATTAAACACACTTTCTAACAATAAGACATTTTTCATTAGGTCTAGAACAATTAAACACACTTTCTAACAATAAGACATTTTTCATAAAGTTCAGTACAATTAAACACACTTTCTAACAATAAGACATTTTTCATTAAGTCTAGAACAATTGAACACACTTTTTAACAATAAGACAATTTTCATTAGGTCTATAACAATTGAACACACTTTCTAACAATAAGACATTTTTCATTAAGTCTAAAACAATTGAACACACTTTCTAACAATAAGACATTTTTCATTAAGTCTAGAACAATTAAACACACTTTTTAACAATAAGACATTTTTCATTAGGTCTATAACAATTGAACACACTTTCTAACAATAAGACATTTTTCATTAAGTCTAAAACAATTGAACACACTTTCTAACAATATATAAATATACATTAACCTTTTTCACACTTGCCATTGACTTGACTCATAAATAAATCTTTCTCTCACTGACCATCTACATACAAATTTCTCTCACTGACCATCTACAAACACATTTCTCTCACTGACCATCTACATACAAATTTCACTGACCATCTACATACAAATTTCACTGACCATCTACATACAAATTTCTCTCACTGACCATTTACTTCATTTACATAAAAATTTCTCTCACCGATCATCTACATACAAATTCTCTCACACGACTGGACACAGTTCTCTGTGTTAACTCTAGTACTTTGTTCTTATATACACGAGCTCTGTCGATTACGTCCTGTCTCAGACTCTAGGTTTCGTTAACTGACTACATGTACACATCCACCACACATCCACCACACATGTACCACACATCCACCACACATCCACCACACATCTACCACACATCTACCACACATCTACCACACATCTACCACACATCCACCACACATCTACCACACATCTACCACACATCCACCACACATCCACCACACATCCACCACACATCTACCACACATCTACCACACATCCACCCAGTGGCGGAACTAGAAAAAAAGGGCCACCCCGCAAAAAAAATATTGTAGCCCCCCCCCCCCCCATATATATATATATATATATATATATATATATATATATATATATATATATATATATATATATATATATATATATATATATAGGCATATATATCTATATATGTATTTATGTATATATATATATATAAACAAAAAGTACGAACATGGGATGCGCATTGCTGGCCTATTCGGGTTTTGATAAAAATGTTTTTTTTCATTTACAACAAATTACATCATGTCATGTGTGTAAGTGCATTTTTTTTTCTTTTTTTTTGTAAGTGCATCAGTGTGTTTTGTGAAAATAAATTTTATTTAACTGTGCTTTCAGACACCTCTTAACATCTAGTCGGTCAAAATAATATAAACCATGAAAGCTTTGTATAAGTAATGGTGTTTCGTGTTATGTTTATTTTGTTGCTTTTTTAAAATTTAAATTATTCATTTTAAATACATCTCCTTTTTATTCAATGTTATTCTTTAGTAAGTACTTTAAAAAATAATAATAATTAAGCAACGTAATTGCTTTTTAATTTGTTTAGTACAAATCTATTAATAGGAGCTTATGAGCAAAACTATTTAAATATTTAAAAAAGGGAAATAAGTCATGGAAGTCTGCTTATCTTTGATAAGTTTGATCGTAGGAGAAAGAAGACTCGGCTTTCATAGTGGTTTAAAAACAAAGGGAAAAAGAATATACATGAGCGTGGGGTGGTGTCTATAGAATAAAGATAATCCAGCTACGGTAATCTTTTTTTACAAAACAACCATGAAGTAAAAAATGCAAGTAAATTATTTTTTTTAACTATACAATTTTTTTATGGTCGGCCGTGGGCCCCTAAATGGCGTGGGCCCCCCCGCATTGCGGGGTCTGGCGGCACTGTAGTTCCGCCCCTGCATCCACCACACATCGCGGAAGGCATTGTGAACAGTAAAGGGACGTAACCATGACATACATAATACAAGGGACGTAACAATCACTAACAAGACATAATGTAACACTAACCATTTACATAACTCAAAAACCTTTTCAAACTTTCTCACACTGACTCTCTATGTAATTGATAAAAATAAAAATGCCAACCTTTCTTAGATTGAAAGTCACTTGAAATTTGGCGAGAAACGATTCAGCGAACTCGGGGTAGGTCTGTAGGATCTCCCGGAGGTCCGGAAGGTCGATCTTGTTGATGTCGCAATAGGAGAGGGCCCTGACACAGTACATGGACTGGCCTTGTAGGGAGTTGTTTTCTTTGATGTCTTCACCGAAAATATCATCTTTTCCTGCAAGTTTTATTTACCAAGGTTAGCTAAGGCATTTGAATGATTGATTAGGATATCTTCACCGAAAATATCATCTTTTCCTGCAAGTTTTATTTACCAAGCTTAGCTAAGACATTTGAATGATTCATTAGGATATCTTCACCGAAAATATCTTTTCCTGCAAGTTTTATTTACCAAGGTTAGCTAAGGCATTTGAATGATTGATTAGGATATCTTCACCGAAAATATCATCTTTTCCTGCAAGTTTTATTTACCAAGGTTAGCTAAGGCATTTGAATGATTGATTAGGATATCTTCACCGAAAATATCATCTTTTCCTGCAAGTTTTATTTACCAAGGTTAGCTAAGGCATTTGAATGATTGATTAGGATATCTTCACCGAAAATATCATCTTTTCCTGCAAGTTTTATTTACCAAGGTTAGCTAAGGCATTTGAATGATTGATTAGGATATCTTCACCGAAAATATCATCTTTTCCTGCAAGTTTTATTTACCAAGGTTAGCTAAGGCATTTGAATGATTGATTAGGATATCTTCACCGAAAATATCATCTTTTCCTGCAAGTTTTATTTACCAAGCTTAGCTAAGACATTTGAATGATTCATTAGGATATCTTCACCGAAAATATCTTTTCCTGCAAGTTTTATTTACCAAGGTTAGCTAAGGCATTTGAATGATTGATTAGGATATCTTCACCGAAAATATCATCTTTTCCTGCAAGTTTTATTTACCAAGGTTAGCTAAGGCATTTGAATGATTGATTAGGATATCTTCACCGAAAATATCATCTTTTCCTGCAAGTTTTATTTACCAAGGTTAGCTAAGGCATTTGAATGATTCATTAGGATATCTTCACCGAAAATATCTTTTCCTGCAAGTTTTATTTACCAAGGTTAGCTAAGGCATTTGAATGATTGATTAGGATATCTTCACCGAAAATATCATCTTTTCCTGCAAGTTTTATTTACCAAGGTTAGCTAAGGCATTTGAATGATTGATTAGGATATCTTCACCGAAAATATCATCTTTTCCTGCAAGTTTTATTTACCAAGGTTAGCTAAGGCATTTGAATGATTCATTAGGATATCTTCACCGAAAATATCTTTTCCTGCAAGTTTTATTTACCAAGGTTAGCTAAGGCATTTGAATGATTGATTAGGATATCTTCACCGAAAATATCATCTTTTCCTGCAAGTTTTATTTACCAAGGTTAGCTAAGGCATTTGAATGATTCATTAGGATATCTTCACCGAAAATATCTTTTCCTGCAAGTTTTATTTACCAAGGTTAGCTAAGGCATTTGAATGATTGATTAGGATATCTTCACCGAAAATATCATCTTTTCCTGCAAGTTTTATTTACCAAGGTTAGCTAAGGCATTTGAATGATTGATTAGGATATCTTCACCGAAAATATCATCTTTTCCTGCAAGTTTTATTTACCAAGGTTAGCTAAGGCATTTGAATGATTCATTAGGATATCTTCACCGAAAATATCTTTTCCTGCAAGTTTTATTTACCAAGGTTAGCTAAGGCATTTGAATGATTGATTAGGATATCTTCACCGAAAATATCATCTTTTCCTGCAAGTTTTATTTACCAAGGTTAGCTAAGGCATTTGAATGATTGATTAGGATATCTTCACCGAAAATATCATCTTTTCCTGCAAGTTTTATTTACCAAGGTTAGCTAAGGCATTTGAATGATTCATTAGGATATCTTCACCGAAAATATCATCTTTTCCTGCAAGTTTTATTTACCAAGGTTAGCTAAGGCATTTGAATGATTCATTAGGATATCTTCACCGAAAATATCATCTTTTCCTGCAAGTTTTATTTACCAAGGTTAGCTAAGGCATTTGAATGATTGATTAGGATATCTTCACCGAAAATATCATCTTTTCCTGCAAGTTTTATTTACCAAGGTTAGCTAAGGCATTTGAATGATTCATTAGGATATCTTCACCGAAAATATCATCTTTTCCTGCAAGTTTTATTTACCAAGGTTAGCTAAGGCATTTGAATGATTGATTAGGATATCTTCACCGAAAATATCATCTTTTCCTGCAAGTTTTATTTACCAAGGTTAGCTAAGGCATTTGAATGATTGATTAGGATTATTAAGACACTATTATTTACCAAGGTTAGCTAAGGCATTTGAATGATTGATTAGGATTATTAAGACAATATTATTTACCAAGGTTAGCTAAGGCATTTGAATGATTGATTAGGATTATTAAGACACTATTATTTGCCAAGGTTAGCTAAGGCATTTGAATGATTGATTAGGATTATTAAGACACTATTATTTACCAAGGATAGCTAAGGCATTTGAATGATTGATTAGGATTATTAAGACACTATTATTTACCAAGGTTAGCTAAGGCATTTGAATGATTGATTAGGATATCTTCACCGAAAATATCATCTTTTCCTGCAAGTTTTATTTACCAAGGTTAGCTAAGACATTTGAATGATTGATTAGGATTATTTAGACACTTTACCAAGAATGGCCATGACGGTTTCGTCTTTGAGTATCTCTATTGAGCCACGAGCGATGAAGTATAACGCCGTCAAAATATCCCCCGGGTGGACCAACGTGTCTCCTGGAGGGGCGTGGGTTGACTTGAACTTGGTGGACAGTACTCTCAGACATCCTGGCGAACAGTTAGGCTCGGGTTAGGGTCATGGTCAGTATTAAGGTTAGGGTTAGGGTCATGGTCAGTATTAAGGTAAGGGTTAGGGTCATGGTCAGTATTAAGGTTAGTGTTAGGGTCATGGTCAGTACTAAGGTAAGGGTTAGGGTCATGGTCAGTATTAAGGTAAGGGTTAGGATCATGGTCAGTATTAAGGTAAGGGTTAAGGTCATGGTAAGGGTTAGGCTCAAAACCACCTACTCGTCTCTCATCCATCAATCATCCATCCCTCATCCATCCCTCATCCATACCTCATCCACCACTTTACATCCAGCTGTACCTACCTGGGCTGGCCCCCTTAAAAGCGTTACAATTCTGCAAGAGGTTTCTGTTGAGATGAAGACAAATATCGGCTTGTAGACATTCTGGGAAGCCTTTTAAAACCTGAAAGTTAATTCATGTTTGATGCATGCTGAAACGACGTGCTCAAATATAATAAATTACAAATCTAAGTGTAAGGGTTAGGGATAGGGTTAGGCCATCTAAACATTTGAAATTAACTCCTGGGTTAGGGTTAGATCGTCTAAACATTTGAAATTAACCCCTGACTTCGGGCGTAAAGTTAGCGCTAACTACGGGCTGTTTGATTTTGCACACCACTTATACATGTGCTCAGTGGTAGCTAACCCTAACCAACACCACTCATTGGTAGATAACCCTAACCCACACCACTCATTGGTAGCTAACCCTAACCCACACCACGTATACATGTGCTCAGTGGTAGCTAACCCTAACCCACACCACTTATACATGTGCTCAGTGGTAGCTAACCCTAACCCACACCACTCATTGGTAGCTAACCCTAACCCACACCACTCATTGGTAGCTAACCCTAACCCACACCACTTACACATGTGCTCAGTGGTAGCTAACCCTAACCCACACCACTCATTGGTAGCTAACCCTAACCCACACCACTTATTGGTAGCTAACCCTAACCCACACCACTCATTGGTAGCTAACCCTAACCCACACCACTTATACATGTGCTCAGTGGTAGCTAACCCTAACCCACACCACTCATTGGTAGCTAACCCTAACCCACACCACTCAGTGGTAGCTAACCCTAACCCACACCACTCAGTGGTAGCTAACCCTAACCCACACCACTTATTGGTAGCTAACCCTAACCCACACCACTCAGTGGTAGCTAACCCTAACCCACACCACGTATACATGTGATCAGTGGTAGCTAACCCTAACCCACACCACTCAGTGGTAGCTAACCCTAACCCACACCACTTATTGGTAGCTAACCCTAACCCACACCACTTATACACGTGACCTCCAGGAAATTGTAACAGCTGCTCGGATAGGTATTGGAAGCTAAGCCTAGACAGTTAATTTTTACATCAGCTTGACCCTAACCCTAACCCTAAGCCTAACCCTAAGCCTAGACAGTTAATTTTTACATCAGCTTGACCCTAACCCTAACCCTAAGCCTAACCCTAAGCCTAGACAGTTAATTTTTACATCAGCTTGACCCCCCCCCCACCCCGCCAATTAACCTTTGTATATTACAGCTGGCCCAAAAACTGCAATAGGACATTAACCCCTGTAAAGGTGCGGAACTACTGGGGGGGGGGGGGCAAGCCATTTAGGAGGCCCACAGCCAACCATATTTAATATTTTTTTAAAAATTTGAATTTAATTTTCGTGCATTTTTGCCTTGATATTTGGTTTGAAAAAATACTGTAGCTGCGGTACGATTATGTTTATTTTTCAGTCAATATACCACACAATTCCGCAACCATTAAAATCAATTACACAAACTGTAATGTAAAATATAGGCAAAACTTTAACTTTTAATGACTTCTGTGACTCGTTGTTCCCCTTTGATAGCCAAATAGAGAAGACGCAACTGTTCGACCGGATGGGGGCAGAAGGTGGGGACCAAATAGGGCTAAAAAATTGTCGTCAAATTAATGTATGTATTAAAAAAGTTATTTACAATTGTATTTTTTAACCATCGTCAAGGCCGAATTCTATCTCCCTAAAATCAAACACATTCTTTGGCCGGCAAAATTCTTTGAAAAAAAAACACAAAAAAAAAAACAAAGTCCATAGCTCGAGACGCCGCTAGATATATAGTGGGCTTTCGTGATGTCCGGTACTTCTTTACTGCATTGGTCCGGGATCCTAAATCCATTTTACACTTTTCAATGTTAATATGTGTTTGTAATATTGGTAGAACTTCTATCCTGTACTATCCTGTATCCTACAAATAGTCATAAATAATATAATACTAGAAACTTCGGTTTTATATACGTTTACTCGTTTTTGCTTTTACAAGAAATGACATAGTAAACTTTTAGGGCCTATAATTTTAATTATCTCCCCTGAGTAAGTTTTATAATGGTTGATGCTGACGTACATAGGCGCTTTGTTGTCTCTTTCAAGTTTTTCCCGAGCCGACCCCAATCCCACCCCTCTATCTTAGTCTCGCAGTGTATCGTTTATGAACTACTTCCTAACCGTACATTAACCACTTCAGCACATTTTGTCAGACACTAGACAGCACTAGTCAGCAGATATTAATTTACTTGCATAGTATTAGGTGCATCTAATTCACAAAGCAGGGAAGGGAAGATTATTTTCTATATAATTATTTAAAAATGAATTAGAACGTTTAGAATTAAGTGAACATTATTAATAGTCAATTACTATTCATAAATGACGTCATTGGTGGGGGGGGGGGGGAGGTATGAGAGTCTGGCTTTTATTAGTCGTTAAAAACGTGACGTCATTTGTGGATGCCCCCTCTCCACTCCCCCGATATCAGAACGTTATCTGACGCGTGAGCTGGCCACATACAGTTTTCCCTATGAAAAACATGTTTTTGTCTTTTATGCATTACTACATCATTCATCCGATCGCCATGAAAACTTGGGAAGCTCTTAAGTACAGCCCCGCAAAGGTTTCTGTCATAGGCCTCTGACATTTGTTTACATATTGGGGTGGTGGCGCCCTACAGAAATATGTGATTTAGCCCCCCAAGTTCCTCAGTGGTTATCTTTACACCTAGGATCCACTTATTGTGTGTACTGCACATGGGGTTAGGGTTACTATTGAATCCACCGGCGGCTAAGTCATTTGAAGCGTATCACATATGAGCAGTTTGGCCCCTACAGTCATTTAAAAGTTCACACAACACTAGGGATAAGTCTCGCTACTACATTCCATGCCTAAATCTAACCTAGGGTTGCACCCATCACTCGTGCAGTAATGTAACCGGTAGCTCCCAAGAGCCCCGTGACTCCCCTGACACCTGGGCCGTCGTTGAGGGACTTACAGCAAGCCTTGGTGTGTCTCGTTGGTAGTGTGGGACTTACAGCATGCCTTGGCGTGTCTCATTGGTAGTGTGGGACTTACAGCAAGCCTTGGTGTGTCTCGTTGGTAGTGTGGGACTTACAGCAAGCCTTGGTGTGTCTCGTTGGTAGTGTGGGACTTACAGCAAGCCTTGGTGTGTCTGGTTGGTAGTGTGGGACTTACAGCAAGCCTTGGTGTGTCTCGTTGGTAGTGTGGGACTTACAGCAAGGCTTAGTGTGTCTCGTTGGTAGTGTGGGACTTACAGCAAGGCTTAGTGTGTCTCGTTGGTAGTGTGGGACTTACAGCAAGCCATGGAGTGTCTCGTTGGTAGTGTGGGACTTACAGCAAGCCTTGGTGTGTCTGGTTGGTAGTGTGGGACATACAGCAAGCCTTGGTGTATCCGGTTTGTAGTGTGGGACTTACAGCAAGCCTTGGTGTGTCTCGTTGGTAGTGTGGGACTTACGGCAAGCCTTGGTGTATCCGGTTTGTAGTGTGGGACTTACAGCAAGCCTTGGTGTGTCTCGTTGGTAGTGTGGGACTTACAGCAAACCTAGGTGTGTCTCGTTGGTAGTGTGGGACTTACAGAAGCCTTGGTGTGTCTGGTTGGTAGTGTGGGACTTACAGCAAGCCTTGGTGTGTCTCGTTGGTAGTGTGGGCCTTACAGCATGCCTTGGTGTGGTAGTGTGGGACTTACAGCAAGCCTTGGTGTGTCTCGTTGGTAGTGTGGGACTTACAGCATGCCTTGGCGTGTCTAGTTGGTAGTGTGGGACTTACAGCATGCCTTGGTGTGTCTGGTTGGTAGTGTGGGACTTACAGCAAGCCTTGGTGTGTCTCGTTGGTAGTGTGGGACTTACAGCAAGCCTTGGTGTGTCTCGTTGGTAGTGTGGATATAACAGTGAAATATTGGTAGATTGTATCTTAGGAGTGTGTGTGTATTGCATCAGGGAGACAGTGGCTGTGCGCATGCGCGAGAGGAAGAAGAGAGAAGACGAGGCGAGAAAATGGCGAGGTCTTAGTGGACATAGTGCCTGTGTGAAACAAAATAAATATGAAAAACTACAGAAGAAGGCTTGTCTTTTGATTTATGTATATGTAATATAAAAGGTAGGAGAAAGGCCTATGACAAGTTTATATCTTGAACCCAGTCACACAAAAAGCCTGTGACATTTTGGTGTCAGAAGTGGTCGGTGCTCTACACCGTACAAGAAAGAATTAAATCTAGATTTAGTAGTGTAACTGAATAACTGTTCTTGCATCATTACGATGGAGCTCGATCTCTATGCCAAATACACTGAATTGGCTAATTCGGCGGGATACACTGGGGCAGAGAAGGCAAATTGGGTAGAAAAGAAGGTAGCTGAGGTTATTGAAAGGGAAGACAGAGCTTTAGAGAGGGAATTCGCTAAAGTTAAAATAGAAGCCGAAGATAGAGAAAAACAGAGACAATTAGAAGATAGAGAAAAACAGAGACAATTCGAAGATAGAGAAAAACAGAGACAATTCGAAGATAGAGAAAAACAGAGACAACATGAATTAGAATTAGAAAAAATTAAAATGAACCGATCTCAAGACAGCACTGTTAACAAAATGGACAATCGGAAGCCCAAATTCAGAGCATTCAAACCACAGGAAGAAAGTGTGGAAACTTATTTAATACACTTTGAGCAAATATGTAAGAGTTTTAATTATTCACCTGCTGGGAAGGCACAGGTTTTATTGTCTAATTTGACAGGAGAGACTATTGCCATAATAGCAAGTATGTCTGAGGCTGAAAAAGAAGACTATGACCTAGTAAAAGGAAGATTGATGAAACATTTTGGAAAGACAGAAGACTATTACAGAAAGACTATAAGAATTAACAACACTGGTGACATAAACCAGATCATTTTTGACATTCGCAAATGCATGAACAAAAGGCTAGAATTGGCAGAAATAGATTTAAAGAATCCTGAAACAATTATTGAACTCAACCTGATAGATCATGTTTTAAATAATGCAACAGATAGTTTATTCACTTTTTTGAGTGAAAGAAAAGTTAGGACACAGAAACAATTAATAGAACATCTAAATATTTA